CCAGGCCCAGAGTTCAGGCCCCATGACTGGACCCAAAAAAAAAAAAAAAAAATCTCAAGAAATATACTTATTATCTTGCCCATGTAATTGTAACCCCTCTGTAAAGTATTTTCACAATAAAAAAATTAAAAAAAAATTGATCCTCAAAAATCAATGGCTTTTCTGGATGCCAATAATGAGAAGAGCATGGCTGAAATCAGGAAAGCAACTCCTTTTGTAATAGCCCCACACAAAAAATAAAATACCTAGGAGTAAACTAAAGAAGTAAAGGGCCTCTATAATGAAAACTGTAAAACCTCAAAAAAGAAAATTAAAGCAGAACTAAGGAAGTAGAAAAACCTCCTATGCTCCTGGATTGGGAGGATTAACATCATGAAAATGGCAATACTGCCAAAGACTATCTACAAATTCAATGTGATGCCTATCAATATCCCAACCTCATTCTTCAATGAAATAGAAGCAACTGAAAAATTTATATAGAATAAAAGACTCCAAATAGCAAAACAATCCTTAGCAGAAAGAAAAGTGCTGGAGGAATATCAATACTCCAGTGGTAGAGCGCTAGCCTTGAGCTGAAGAGCTGAGGGACAGCGCCCAGGGCCAGAATTCAAGCCCCATGAACGCCAAAAAAAAAAAAGACTCCACAGAGCTCCCCTATGACCCAGCAATCCCACTTTTGGGATCACAAACAACACCATCCTAAAGCTACCAGCACAACAATGTTTGTTGCAGCATTATTTACCATAGCTAAGATATGGAATCAACCCAGAGGCCCTGCCACGCCTACTCCAGTGGAGTCTGCTTAGCATGGGAAACCAGCTTTCAGACCTGAGAACAGGAAAGATCTTATGGGACAGTTAAGGCCTCTATAAAAATAGGTAATGGTTAATTGGTGACAAACATCGAAACCCATTGTATTTCTTAGAGATAAGCCGGAAACAAGTGCCTATCAGGCGACCAGCTGGTGACCACCCATGAAGCCCTGCAGCAAGACTGTGTAACCTTTTGCCCTTTCTCATGGAGACTTTTGCTATAAAAATTTGTTATCCTCTGCATTAAATCGCACTCAGCATCCACTCCTCTTGTGTGTGAGTTGTCTGTTTGCCATCTCCCCACCTATTCCAGTTCCTCCACTAGGTGTCCTCCGTCGTCCTGACAGAGCCGGTCCGCGGCAAGGCCCCTCAGTAGATGAATGGATCAAGAAAATATGGGACATATACACAATGGAATTCTATGCCTCCATCAGAAAGAATGACATTGCCCCATTTGTTAGGGGCAGACTTGGAAAAATGTGTATTAAGTGAAGTAAGCCAGGCCCAAAGAAACATAGGTCCCATGGTTTTCCTTATTGGCAATATCTAGTATATGTCTAGAACAAGCAGAAAAGGTCAAAAGGTAAGTATATAGGAGCATATGAGATGTTAAGCAAAATGAACCCCAAGATAGTGACACAAGATGTTTTATCTTTGTTGCTGTTGTTCTTAATGCATTTACAATGTACTAAGTGATTTTTTTTTTGGTATGTTCTTCCCCCATGGTATTACCCATTTTTTTCAATGTATTTGATTCTGGTGCCCTGCATCTTATATATACATTTTTCTAATTTGGGAAGGGAAATAACAAAATGCTGAAAGAATACAAGTTGACCCATTGTACCAATGAGATATACAAGACACTATGTTGAAAATGAGCTTTACAATTTTGGGCCAGGGGAGAGGAGAGTTGGGGCCAGAAGAGTGGGCAGGGAAAAACAAAGCAGGGGGTAACAATACTTGATACAAAATGTACTCATTACCTTACTCATGTAACTGTAACCCCTCTGTACAGTATCTTTACAATAAAAAATATATTATATATATATATATATATACATAGATATATATAAGATTTTTCTTTTTGGAGCTAAGAAGGTGGCTCAGTGGTAGAGCTCTTGCCTTGCATGCCTGAGGCCCTGGGTTCGATTCCTCAGCACCACATAAGCAAAAAGAAAAAAGCTGGAAGTGGCACTGTGGCTCAAGTGGTAGAGTGCTAGCCTTGAGCTGAAGAGCTGAGGGACAGCGCCCAGGCCCAGAGTTCAGGACCCACAACCAGACCCCCTCCCAAAACAAAAGATTTTTCTTTTTAATCCTTTGGCCAAATTGGTGTGAATGAGAATATGCTTTTGTATTTTTACCAGTGTGGCATGGGCTTGACCATCACAGAATGGTTATGGGCCAAAGTCTTCACTGTGGGGAATTCACACGAAACAGATCAGACATAGGCAGTGGTGACAGAAATCACAGGGTTGCAGCCTGATGCCCTGGATTTAAAAGAACAGTGGAATCTATACCATGTATAGATGATTCTGTGTCAAGGTTCCATGTTTGATGTTGTGGAAATGTTACCTGTGCCTGTTAATCAAATTGACTAACCTTGGGGAAAAAAAGGTAAGCCTTCACTTGCTTCCTTTATGTGGTTAAATAATTTGCAGCTCATATGAATATCTGTTTCCTGTGATCTCAACCATGCTCTCAGGGAAGGGCAGAGCAAGAATTGAGAGATTTTTGAACACTTCCTCAGATTCCCAACACTCCTGAGTGATGGTAATGAGAAAAAAGTCTCATTAGGTGCTGAAGTTAGAGTTCCCTCAATGCTTGATTCCTTGCATGGTGTCATGGAATCTAGAGCCAAAAGCAAGTCTTAATCCCTTTCTTAAACCCTTCTGCAACAAAGGGATCCTGGAAAGACTGATGCTCTAGATTGCTTGAACCATGGGAAGGTTCAAATCATTTCCATTCCTGAACAAAATTAGATCAGCTTCTGCATGATGAAGAGACTACTTGTGAAAATCCTCTCTAAACATATACTTGTTGTCAAAGGCTTCTAGGGGCCTTCATTATCAGTAAGTAGGTGACCCCATCTATGACCAGTGTTCTACTTGGCCCCCAAGACTGCCCAGAGCTCAGAACATCCTGAACCAATTGCCACTTGATGTTTGTGCCAATAATTTTTCTTTGACCAGCCCCAATGAGCACTTAAGCTAATTAATGGAGGCCTTGTGCCCTAGTAAACTGATGTTTAGAGAATGATGACTTTCTGTTGATTACTGAGTTGAGTTAAAGAACAAGCCAGGGGGCCAGGACACCTGAGAACAGGTATCTTCCTTCTCAAGTCCTCCTCACCAATGAAGGACTCAGTCAGTCTTATCATCTTTAGGACAGGGGAACAGCAATTGATCTCCCGTATAAAGTTAGTGCCACAGTCCCTAACAGCACCAATCACTCAGAGGAACACCCAAGTTGTTTTCCCTCCACCACCCAGTGTCTACTACTGTCCTGATGGCGCTACTCCCTCTGATCACTCCCCCAGTAGGGCCCGATTAACAGGGACTAAGATAGCAGTACAATCTCAGTACTATGCTCTGAAAACACACCTAAGTATCTGGATTTCCATGTCTAACATTCTCTATTTGGTTATCTACAGGAAGAAGATGATGTATAATTACTGTCTGATGAAATTCTATTACTATATCCATTTTTCTTTTGTTTGCTTTTACTGGTTATTAGCCTTAAATTCATGGCACTCTAGTCTTCTTTGGCTTCTATGGTAAAGCTTGGCACTCTATTCCACGTGCCACACCTCAAATTCTGACATTGTTCTATTTAGTATCACAAGTTCATTCATCTAATAAAGGCAGTGTATGTGTGATCCCTGTTATCTGTTCTCTTACAAGATGTTTACCAGGGCTGGGAAGTTGGCTCAGCGGTAGAGCACTTGCCTTGCATGCCTGAGGCCTTGGGTTCAATTCCTCAGCACCACATAAGCAAAAAGAAAAAAGCCAGAAGTGGTGCTGTGGCTCAAGTGGTAGAGCGCTAGCCTTGATCTGAAGAGCTGAGGGACAGCACTCAGGCCCAGAGTTCAGGCCCCACGACCGGACCCAAAAAACATTAAAAAAAAAAAAAAAAAGATGTTTACCAAAACTAAATTAGAAAAACTACAATACTTGAAATTGGGAAAAATATTTTCATAGCATGATCTAAAATAAAAATTGAGTAATTTAATGGAATTTTGTAACAAATTTAAAAAGTAAAAAATTGCAGAGGAATATAGATTAACATTGAACAGTCATGTGTAAAAACAGCATTCAGATGCTCTGTATGAACATACTTTCCACAGCAATTCAGATTTCCCATTTCTCATGACTAGACACGGGAACATGAGAATGTTCCAACCATTTAAATGTGAACCTCTTGACTGAGTAGAAGGCAAGACTGTATCATCTCATAATCATGACGAGAGGTCATCATGGAATGTTCACAATGAGCACCTGCCACTAGAGTTTGCCATGAACAGTTTTGTTTCAAAAAAATAAATCCTTCAACCACACATTATAATGTGTAACCAATGTAGAGTGCCATCATGACAAACAATGAGCAGCATTTAAAATGTATTTTCATTGTGAAAATTTGTTTGAATTAAGAATAAATGTGACATGTAAAATAAAAAGCTTTCTTGGCTGGGCGCTGATGGCTCACGCCTGTAATCCTAGCTACTCAGGAGGCTGAGATCTGAAGATCACGGTTCAAAGCCAGCCCAGGCAGGAAAGTCCGTGAGACTCTTATCTCCAATAAACCACTAGAAACCCAGAAGTGGCACTGTGGCTCAAGCGGTAGAGCGCTCACCTTGAGCTGAAGAGCCCAAGGACAGTGCCCAAGCCCAGAGTTCAAGCCCCAAGACTGACCAAAAAAATTTTTTTCTTGATTTGAAATATCAATCTCACTAATTGGTAATTTATTTGATATACTCTTTCAAATACAGGCAAATAGATCAATAGATAGCGATATATATTTATGTCGCTTTGGAGTAAGCAGTAAGATTACGGTTCATTCATTGAATGCGGTGCTTTGTATAAGTGAGCACAAACTCACCCAGTCATTTGAAACCACGTAGACTCCTCTGTAACACCTGTCAATTTATCAGACCTTTGGCACAATCATTGGCTCCTTACATTCCTAAGATTTCTAACTAGTGTGAATTCTCTTATGCTTGATGAGGTGTGAATTCTGGGTAAAGGGCTTTCCACACCTGTTACATTCATAAGGTTTCTCTCCTGTGTGTATTCTCTGATGGATGTTAAGCTCTGTCTTCCGGGTGAAAGACTTTCCACACCTGTTACATTCATAAAGTTTTTCCCCAGTGTGTTTTTGCTGATGGACATTAAGATCTGCCCTCCTCATGAAACACTTTCCACACTTGACACATTCATAAGGCTTCTCTCCTGTGTGTGTTCTCTGATGGACAGTAAGGTTTGCCTTCTTGATGAAAGACTTTCCACACATGTTACATTCATAAGGTTTTTCTCCTGTGTGTGTTCTCTGATGATCAGTAAGGTGTGTCTTCCGGGTGAAAGACTTTCCACACACATTACATTCATAAGGTTTCTCTCCTGTGTGTGTTCTCTGATGATCATTAAGGTGTGTCTTCCGGGTGAAATGCTTTCCACACCTTTTACATTCGTAAGGTTTCTCTCCTGTGTGTGTTCTCTGATGGGCAGTAAGTTGTGTCTTCCGGGTGAAATGCTTTCCACACCTGTTACATTCATAAGGTTTCTCTCCTGTGTGTGTCTTCCGATGGATAGTAAGTTGTGACGTCCAGGTGAAAGACATTCCACACCTGTTACATTCATAAGGTTTCTCTCCTGTGTGTCTTCTCTGATGTGAAGTGAGGTATGACTTCAGTCTGAAAAACATTCCACATTTGTCGCATTCATAAGTTCTCTCTTCTGTGTGACTTCTCTGATACTGATTGAGAGCTGACTTCTGGGTAGAATTTGTCCTACATCCTTCATATTGATAGGGTTTCTCTTCTGTGGGTGTTTGAGGTGGGAAAGTCAGATCTGACTTCAGAGACATAGATTTTTCACACTGGATATAATCATTGGACTTCTCTGCATATTTGCTATGGGGTTTTGCAAGGACAATTTCCCTACTGAAAGGTTTTTTACATACATTATATGTACAAGGATTCTCTCTTGTGCACATTTTCTGATGTGTAGTGACTGTATGTCTTAAATAGAAGGTTTTTCCACATCCAGTGCATTCAGGTGTTTTCCTCTGGCCCTGAAGTATTTCTTCGGCAAGGAGAGTAGACTTACATTGCTGCTCATCACTCAAATCAAAAGTTCTCATACTTTCTTCTACTGTGTTACTATTTTTGACAGCTACTTCACACAGACATTCACGTGGACTTTCCTGGAAGTTCTTAATCACATCCTCCATTTCTTGGACATCTAAAATGAGTCAGAGAAAAAAAAGACAAAAACATAAGACCAAAAATTCCTTAATGAGGGGGCTGGGAAGGTGGGCTCAGTGGTAGAGTGCTTGCCTTGCATGCATGAGGCCCTGGGTTCGATTCCTCAGCACCACACAAGCAAAAAGAAAAAAGCCGAAAGTGGCGCTGTGGCTCAAGTGGTAGAGCACTAGCCTTGAGCTGAAAAGCTGAGGGACAATGCCCAGGCCCAGAGTTCAGGCCCCACGACCGGACCCAAAAAAAAAAAAAATTCCTTAATGTAAAGGTAAAGACATTTTCTCCCATCCTATCTGTTAGAGACTTAAAATACCAAAGTATGGGGCTGGGAATATGTCTTAGTGTTAGAGTGCTTGCCTAGCATTCAAGAAGCCCTGGGTTTGATTCCTCAGTACCACATAAACAGAAAAAACCAGAAGTGGCATTGTGACTCAAGCAATAGAGTGCTAGTATTGAGCAAAAGAAGCTCAGACACTGCCCAGGCCTTGAGTTCAAGCCTCAGGACTGACAAAAAATGTATCAAAGTAGGAATAGCTTTATGAAAAATATACTCTTCTGCCTAATACATTAATTAAGAAAGTAATAATGATATTTTACAATGGAAAATGTTTTTCTGTATTTCAGTTTTTTCTTCTTTTTATATCAGGAAAAATATTTACTCAACTACATACTGCTAGAGTTTTAAGCTGAGTATTTGCCATCTGCCTTTAGTATTTTTGTGGTTGTGTTTTTCAAATATTGTTTTGTTTGACCATAGGGGAATGCTGCTTTGTTTCCTTTTCTTTTCTTGAAAAATGTATTTTTCTACTTTGCTTTTCATCTATTAGGTGAGACATACGAATAATTACTAGACTCAGAGACCATTAAGAGTATTTTATACATCCCCTTGCCTTTCATCTAAGCAGGAATGGTTTGTTTTAATTGTGAAGATGATGTACAGAGGGGTTACAGTTACATACTGTAGATAGTGAGTACATTTTTATGTCGGTTGTGGGGCCTGAACTTTGGGCCTGAGTGCTGTCTCTCAGCTCTTCAGCTCAAGGCTAGCATTCTACTACTTGAGCCACAGCGCCACTTCCAGCTTTTTCTGCTAATGTGGTGCTGAGGAATCGAATCCAGAGCCTCATGCATGCAAGGCAAGCGCTCTACCACTGAGCCACCTTCCCAGCCCCCTTAATGAGCCTTTTTAGACTAAATGCTTTGCTTCTGAATCCCAGTATCTGCCCACCACTGATAAGCTATTTTCCTTATTAAAGGACAGCAACCCTGGCATACTACTTATTTCCTCATACCAGCACACTCCGAATTTCAAAGAAAATGAAATCTCATATTCTAAATTTCTCATTTTAGTTTTTTGTTTCAGAGTAATTTCTACAAGGAGAAAGAGAATTGCTAACTTTAATTCTACTGCCACACAGAGTTCAGTGTTTCCGTATGAATTCTGGATTCACAAGTCTTTGAGACAAAGGATCACCTAGTTCTCTACCACACTCAGGACTCAGGGGAAGTAGGAACATTATTGCTCAGTACAATGCAAGATGAACTTACCAACCAAGCTCTCAATCCAACATCACTATGCAAGGTGTATTAACTCACTTGTGTAATTCTTGTCTGAGGCTTCTCCTATCCATGGTTCTGCACCTTCCTCCAGCTTGACAATCAAGTTAGGTTTAGGAACACAGGGCCCTGCTAATAAGAACCAGTGAAGAACTGTTGCTCATGCTGGGTCATCACTGCTATAAAAGTTCAGACATCCTATTCACAAGGTTGCTACTAAATCTTGTTTCTCATTCCTCACTGGATCCATAGTTAACTTGCCCCTAGCTTTGGATTTATTTTGCCAGTTATGTAGCTTGAACTCAGCTCTTTTGCTGAAGGCTAGCATTCTACCAATTTGAGTCCCAGCTCCACTTCCAGTTTTTAAGTGGTTAATTGGAGATAAGTCTTGTGGTGTCTTTGCTGCCATTACTGGCTTCAAACTGAAATCCTGGATTTTAGCCACCAGATTAGCTAGGATTAAAGGGATGAACCACCGCACCCAATACCACACTTGAATAATAAATACCCACTTTCATCTAGTGATTCCCAGATCATGCTTCCAATAGTCATATACATTCTACTCTACATTGTATATCCACCTACAACAAATCGTCTCAAGTGGGAAGACTGTCTCGTGTTAGTGGAACACAGTTTAGAACTTTTGTCTCACTTCTTACTTGGCAACTTGAAAAAAGAATACAAATGCCTCACGAGTTATATAATCAAGTTGAAGTTTTCCTGAAAAAGGAATGATACTTCGCATGGACTGGAATCTTCTACTCAAATACCAATGCAAGTTTGATAAATGTTCACATATCTACTAAAAACACTTGACCTAACAAATGAATGTGACTTTTGCTCACCCAAGGACACCAGGTTGCCGTAGGTCTCCAGCATTACATCTCTATACAGGGTCCTCTGAACAAGATCCAAGTCCTGCCACTCCTCCCAGCTGAAGTCCACAGCCACATCATCAAATGACACCAGTTTCTGTAATGGCACATTTCCATCAAGTAAAAATATGTGTATGTGTGTATGTATGTGTGTATATACGTGTGTGTGCGCGCGTGCGCCTTTAGTCATGAGAATATCAAGTCTGGAATTTCATTCTTTTACATGCATGTTTTTGTCTTAAATAGAGTATTTGGGGCTTGATGTATTATCTATACAATGCGAGAAAGAAAAATGAAAGTAGAAATGTTTGCTTAAAGAAATTAGCTAATTATTCATTTGGCCTTTATAAGATTTGACACTGTGGCTCAAGTGGTAGAACCCTAGCCTTGAGCTGAAGAGCTGGGGACAGTGCGCAGGCCCAGAGTTCAAGCCCCACGACCATCCAAAAAAAAAAAAAGTTAAGTAAAGGAGGCATGTGATCTAAAAAATATACAAGAAATTTTTTAAAGTTCAAATGAAATATAGTACTAATTTGTTCTGTAGAGACTAAAAGGAGAGATTTTTTTACTCCCATATCAAACCCATTACAAATGAAGACTGTACAGCAATTTTTCCAATCTAGCCATTCTTGAAAATACTAGAGGTGTAGAGGCTGACTAACACCAAAAATGGAAATATATCTGTAAGAAAGAAAATATCCTTCAATTCACAATTGGGCTGAGGCACTCTCCTAAAATGTAGATTGAAGACATTTTCAGGAAATGATACTTCATTAAAAAAACATTGTATTTAAGAGTATTACAAGAAATTATTCTCCCCCAAGAGAACACCAAAAGGAGTCAACTTAGATATAAAACAGTAAATGTGCCATGTGCTGGTGGCTCACACCTGTAATCCTAGCGATTGAGGAGGCTGAGATCTGAAGATTGCAGTTCAAAACCAGCCCAGGCAGGCTCTTAACTCCAATAAACTACAAGAAAACCAAAAGTGGTGCTGTGGCTCAAGTGGTAGAGCGCTGGCCTTGAGCTGAAGAGCTCAGGGACAGTGCCCAGGCCTAGAGTTCAAGCTGCATTATCAACAAACAACAACAACAACAAAACCCAACAGTAAATGTTTAGGTAAGGATAAAGGAATGTATGAATGTATAGAACATACATTTTATGTAATTTTTCTAAAATGACGAAATGATGAAAATGATTTGTGCAAGGAAAACATAGCACCATATCATTATTCATAGAGCATGAAAATTCAATATACAAACACATAAGGGTATTAAAAATAAAGTACATGGGTTACGTAAATGGATCAGCTGATATTGTACTTCCTGGGCAAATATGAGGGCCTGAGTTCAAAGAATTAATTCCACCAAAAAAGAAACTAAAAGGCCAATAGTGTTAGGTTATTAATGGAATTATCTCACTGAAAAGTAACTATATTATATGATGTCATATGCTGGTACTGTGAGAATATTGTAAACTCTTAGAGTACTTGGTAATAATAGAGTGAACTACACTGAGCATGTTAGTGTCCTTTGTCTACCATACAAATTAATCAGACTGGACAAGAAATTTATTTTCTTGCAGTTCCTGTATACAATTTTTGTGCATGGTTTACTTCTGCCAAAGCTCTATGCTTCAGTCCTAGGATGGCCTTTGTTCTGTACAAAAAAAATCTCTAATTACTTCTTTATGAAGAACACAGTGTAACTATCAGACAAGATTACAGGTACTACATAACAGCCCTTTAAAAGGGATATACGGGCCTTGCATATTTATAAGTTGCACAGATGCAGTAAACCATAGAGCCAAAATATTTGAAAAAGTATGGCAACTGTATTAAACATTCAGTCTTTGGTGTTCGCTTCGGCAGCACATATACTAAAATTGGAACGATACAGAGAAGATTAGCATGGCCCCTGCATAAGGATGACACGCAAATTCGTGAAGCGTTCCATATTTTTAAACAAAGGAGGAGGCTACAATGCTTGATAAGAAATGTAC